TTTATTTATTTATTTGTGTGTGTGTGTGTATGTGTGTGTGGCCAGCTCAGCCCACCAGGGGGCGGGCTGGCTGGCATGTGGTGCTGGGGGATTGAACCATGGTCCCTCTGCTTTGTTAAGCTTGTTCTAAGTAGGTGCTTTAGACCACTGAGCCATCTCACCAGCCCCTCCTAAATGCTTTAGGGAAGCTTTTATCAACATTCCCCCTGCATTCCTTATTCTCCTAAGCCCACTACATCATGCCAGCCTCTCACCACACCCTGCACTTTCCTTTCCTAGCAACCACAATATTATTACACCCCTGTGTGTACTTGCTCTGCCTCTGCAGTGGCCTCTGACTTCCTGAGGGCATAGACCATCTGTCTCCCCATCGCCTACCACAAGGGCTGGCCCTGGAGTGTGCATTTAATAAATGGTCTGCTGAGTACAGGAGCAAATGAGCACGACAGGTGAATAGGCTGAGGGAGAAAGTCAGGTGGCTCTAATTCGACCAAGTCAAGCTGGTTGTGACCGAGGCCAACACTTAACTTCTCTGGTCTTATAGCATTCATTTATAAAACAGAGATAATACATCTTTGTTCTTTGATGAGGATCAGATGTAAAGACTGCACAGAAATCACTCAGAACAATGCTTAGCACAAAATAAGCCTGAAGTCACTCTTAGAAAGTCACTTAGAAGTCACTCTTAGAGTGACACTTTCAACAAATATTTATGCCAGGCCTTTACTATTAAATAAGCTATGTAAGATATGTATAAAACCCCTCCCCTGCCACCAAAAAGCAAAGCAGAACAAAAGCTACAGGGATAAAATCTAAACTTCACCACACCCTCCCTCAACAGAAGTGCCCTAGAGGCCATTTCGTCTTTTCCAGGGACTTGGTAGCCGCTACACCCTAACGTGAGCTCTTCACTACACTAGCTGTGTCAAACTGTCCGGGTCACGGCTTCACCATCACCTACTCAAAAGAAATCTCTTACGTCCACTCACGCTTCCTTCTCAGCACGTACTGTATTTTGTGCCCGTTCTCTCGTTTCGCAATTTTCACCGTCTCCCCAACCAGCCTGTAGGCTCCTCCAGGGCAAGAATCAGTTACCCTACTTCCCCTGGGCGTCTAGCGCGGTGCCTGACGCACACTAGAGCGCCAGAATTCTGCGCTAAATGAGTGACAACTTGGACGAAGCGGCGTTGCGCGCCACCGCTCTCCGAGCTGAAAGGTCTTCGAACACGAGGAGCACACAGACCCAGACTGCCTCACACTGCTCCGCCCCGGAGGCGAGCACTTCAGGGAACCGCAAGGGCAGCACTTACCAGGCAGGGAACGTCTCCCCAGAGGGCAGTTCCCCTGTTGAGAAAGAAGACATTAGCGATGTCACCCAACACGAACTGAGCGGGAGAAAAGCCTTCCCGCAGCACACACTCCAGCTCGCCCCGGTCCTGGCGACAGGGGAGCCCCGTGACTGCGCGAGCCAACGAGGGGCACCGGGTCTGCAGACGCCCCCGCTGCCCAAGCGGAGCCCGGCGAGGCGTTCCCGGGTCCGGGCGGCGCGGGGCCCGCCGCCGAGGGCCGTCGAGGCTGGGGTGCAGCAGGCAGCAGGGCCGCGAGC